CGGATCCGGGTAAGGAGATTGGATCCAGTGGCATGCTCCCCCCCTCCCCCCCCCGTGCAGTCAGTGAGAGAAATCGTCTGATCGGATTTTTTTTTTTTTCTAAACATTGTGGTTCACTCATGGATTTTGGTGCTGGGAAATCGGGCGTTGATAGAGTGCTTATCTTATTGTTATTATTATTATTAGCAACATCATTATTATTATTATGATTATTATCATTATTATCATCACTTTTAACATTATCATTGTCTTCATCATCACCAATACTGTTATTATCATAACTTCTACCATCACCATCATTATCATTACTGTCATCCTCATCATCACCATCACTTTCATTGTTACCATTGCTTCCATCATTATCACCATTATCCTTACTGTTATTATCACCTTCCTTATTACCTCATCACCCCCTCCCCCTCACCTACCCCACAACTCCCCCCTCCCCCCCATCAACCTCCCCTCTCCATCCCCTCCCCCTCCCCTTCTCCCCTCTCCCCTTTTCCCCTCCCTCCTCCTCACTTCCCCCCCCTCTCCTCCCCCTCCCCTCCTCCCCCTCCCCTCCTCCCCCTCCCCTCCTCTCCCCTTTCCCCCTTCCTCCCTCCTCCCCTTTCTCCCCTCACCTCCTCCTCCCTCCCCTCCTCCCCCTCCCCTCCTCCGGCTCCACCTTCTCCCCCTCCCCTCCCCCCCACTCCCCTCCTCCGGCTCCACCTCCTCCCCCTCCCCTCCCCCCCACTCACCTCCTCCGGCTCCACCTCCTTCCTAATAATCCTCAGCAGATCGGGGTGGATGTATCGCTTCGTCCACATGTAGTTGTTGTCCTTGATTCCCCACAAATCGGGGTTCCGTTTGCCTTCCTTGTGGCCGCGGGGGTCCACGACCGTGCCTGCGTTGATGCGAGTGTCCACGTACCTCCCGACCTGCGGGGGGGGGGGGATAGATGGGTAAGTAAAGTAGGGAAGAGTGAGCATCATTGATATTGGAGAGATTGTCAGTGTTATCATTAGTGTTTATTATTTACTTTATTATCTTCTTATATTGTATTTATCAGATTGTATTGTGTTATCATTTTATTATCATTATTATTGTTATTATTATTAATATTACTGTTATTATTATTATCATTATTGTTATTGTTATCATTATTATTATAATTAGCATTTTTTATGTTATTGTTATCTTTATTATTATTGTTATCATTATTATCATTATCATCATTATTATCATTATCATCATTATTATCATTATCATCATTATTAATGTCATAGTATTATCACTATCATTATCATTATTATCATCACAATTCATAAAATTACTACTACCATTATTATCACGATTATCATCAAAATCACATTATTGTACGTCTCTTCCATTTCTTGTCCTTAACCTTTACTTTACCACATCTCTATTCCTCATCGTTATTACTCGACTCTTGTTCAAATTCTGTTCCGCAACATAACGAGAACATAATCACACTCACTTCTTCTCCTTCAGCAAACGCGTTGATGTAATCTCTCTGTATCAGGTTGAAGTGTCTGACTTCTTCCACCATGAAGACTCCTCTGAGGATACGACGTGAGGATAAGTTGGATGATGAGGAAAAAAGAAAGAGAGAGAGAGAGAGAGAGAGAGAGAGAGAGAGAGAGAGAGAGAGAGAGAGAGAGAGAGAGAGAGAGAGAGAGAGAGAGAGAGACAAACAGACAAAGAGACAGACAGAGAGACAGGCAGAGAGAAAGAGAAAGAGAGACAGAGAGAGCAGAAAGAGAGAGAGAGAGAGAGAGAGAGAGAGAGAGAGAGAGAGAGAGAGAGAGAGAGAGAGAGAGAGAGAGAGAGAGAGAGAGAGAGAGACAAACAGACAGACAGGCAGACAGACAGACATAGCCAGAGATATTAATATAGAACTATACAACAAATATGTCGCACAATCTGCATACATAAGAAAAGAAAATATTTAAAACACCTATGCATATATATTCACTTCGACGCCCGGAACGCCTGGAAATGAACCGCCAAGACAACGCAGGACAAACCAAAGAGGATTTCGAAAAAATATGCCCGACTGTGGGATCATCGCGGTCCTCGGCTCGTGGAACTCGAGGAGGAAGTACTTTGAAGGGATAAAAGTTTCCTCGATTTGGGGAGTACGGTGTGTGTTTTATTGCCATAGGTCGGGTAGTGTGTGTGTGTGTGTGTGTGTGTGTGTGTGTGTGTGTGTGTGTGTGTGTGTGTGTGTGTGTGTGTGTGTGTGATCATGTATGTAAAACGGAAACACAAAGCATACAATAAAGTCACAGAAGAAAAGGAAACACCTCAGCTGTTTAAAAAGAAAGAAAAAGAAGCGCCCGGCGACACAGCCTCCGCTCGAGAGGGAAGCACGGCGATCGCCAGGGCCTCCTCCGCCGGATTACGAACCTGACATAGTGTCGGCAGCCTTTCCACAGCCCTCCGGGGACTGCTATGTAATCTAGTCAATAGCAGCGCTCGGGAGAGGCTTGGCGCG